GGAGTTAAGCTCGTGAGCTGCTCCACAGCCCTGGCATCTCCTCGAGCATGACAAATTCACCATTTATTCAGTATTAATCCCAAGATATTACATCCAAGAGGCAGAGGTAACTGTGAGTACTCCTTCCTGTCCTGCAGAGTACGAACAGGAGGCAAACAATCCATAAAGGGGAAACAGAAAGCCCCACAGGTCCTGCCCGTGGACCCATGGGAAGGACTGTGAGATCTTGAGCATCTCTCCTGCATCCTGCCCTCCAGAGATCCATGGATTCCAGCTGTACCTGTTCCTGGCTCAGCTGTGTGAGGTGAGGCACAACTTCCTGTTCACCTCATCCCGATCTGCAAGGAACGACCAGAAACCTCTACAGCTAAACAAAAATACTTGTCTAAAGGATTTCTACCTGCCCCTTCCAGCAGGGAACTGTGTGCAGCTGTCACAGCCAATGTTGTGGAAGTTCTCTTTGGCCACGAAGCTTGGCAGCCTTCTACTGCTGGTCATCCAAAAGGAAATCCAGCCAGCACTTACGGACACCTCAATGTGATGGGAGCATGGCAGGAATGGCAGCCCGATTCCTCTTTGTTGTCTCAGGGGATCACTAATTATTTCTACAGCTCTTGAAGCTCTTATTAACAGCAAACATGAATAAGCTGCACTGTCCTCATGTAGATTAATGTTTAATGAAGTTACAACCTGTGTCTGTTTACCATAAAGCCATCTCCTTTATGAAAGCTTAGTGGGCCAGCAGTGAACAATTCTAACACTGTGCTATGTTCCTGTGATTTCTATTTCAGTCAGTGCAATATGGAATTGGCTTTCATTATCCCAACTGCCATTGATGTTCAGATTGAAAAGAAGTAAAATGACTTTTTTTCATTCAATCTATGGCTTTTCTGAAGGAAACTACTGTTAAACATGACAGACATTTATTTAATTGCTTTCTGAGCAAATTGTAAGCCATACAACAGCACACGGGTCAAGATGAAAAAAATCTTTGGGTTTTACAGACATTTCAGAGTGTTATCATTAGATAAGACCTTGAGACATTTGCATGTTAGTTAATGGTTGTTCTGCTTTCCTGGATAATGACCTATTTCTTACAGAACAGCTAATATCTATAAATTTCTAGTTTTCTGCCTGGATATTTTAATAAAAACTAAGATACTTGAATTCAGTGTGTTTCATATATCAAATTATTACTGCAAAGATTTTTTATAATCTACTTTAAAATGGTCATTTAAGAAAAATGAAAGAAAGCACTGCCTCTTTTTTACCTCTCACAAAAAATGCATGAATGCATTTAATGCATAAAGACTTTTCAGTTTTGCCATGTTTTTAATAACCCTGTTCGTTATTAGACGAGTAACCCCAAAATCTGCATCACTAAACATAAAAAATAAATTTAAAAAAGCAAAAAATTCCATTTTGTTTGAGCCACAGTTACACCAGGATGTAAGTGTCCATGTATTACATATCTCATCCCAGCTGTCAGAGCAGGTCTCTCATGTTTAAGTGATTTAAGATTATGGATCAGAGGCCACTTGCTTCCCCTTAGGTAATAATAATAAATATGCTAATGCTTTTAGTGTCATTGTTAATTCCTTGTTTGTGAGCACTCAGAGACAGGCTGAAGCAATGTGGTCTGAAGGCAGGATTTGAAGATGAGTTATTCCCAAGGAGATCAGGGAAGCCAAAATTCTGAGCTTAAAGCACCGTCACTTTGCAGTGTGGGAGACCAAGTCCTCTTCCACATACAAGGAAAACACACAGGTTTTAAATTCTGTTCAGGACATCTTGCTACACAGGCAGCAAAGACTAGATCTTCACTCAACCTCTTCCACTCTAACTTCTACTTTGCCTTCAGTTCTCATGTAAGGACTCATCAGTCTTGGTCAAGATCTTCTTTGGAACTACACACTGAATGTGTCATTCAGGGATAAATATTTGAGGCAACAAATCAACACACATGAAGTGGTCATAATTCCAATCAAGTTTTAAACTTGTATTTTGATTTCAAGGATATTAACTTAAAATCTTTAGTTATCAAAGAAACACGTGTTAACTCTTGTTCCATCAATGCTAGGATCGTTCAACAGCATAGAAATCTCCTGCAATAATTATATAAAAAACCTCATTTTTCCTTCTTGTGTAAATTTGGGGTTCAAAACAAAGCCATTTCAACATGCTGAGTGGCTGAATGAAATGTATTACAAATCTGGGGCAAATGATGTTGCAAAACACACTCCAGTGTAACAAAGGAGATATATTTGGAACAATTTAGGATGTAATAGAGTATATTAGGTTGAAAAACATCCTTGGATGATGAAAACTGTCTGATCTGTCTGATGGAAAGTGAAAAGCTGAAATTCCTCAATAATTATCCTGTGTCGTGAGCACATGTGTGTTTTGCAGGATAATAAGAAGCTTAATGAAAAGTTCATAAAAATTAAGGGAAATGGGAAATCATATGATGAAAATATATCCTCAGATAAATACAGATATAACAGACTGCTCAGAATGTCATTACTGGAGCTTTGAAAATGAAACTGGCAGAAAGGTCAGGTCCAGGCTGTCAGACAAAGCAGTGCAGAGAAGCAATGCAAGACCTGGAACAATAATCCCCTCTTCCAAGCTGGAGCACTGTCTGGACTCAGCAGCTCAGCTGCAGGTGCAGTGCATCCCATTAGCCTCCCCTGAACCCACAAAAATAAATCTGACATGACACTGGGTACCCTGGGGGTCCCTCTGCTCCCATCATCTTGCTGCTCTAGGTTTGGTGCAGATGGATGCAATTTATCTGCAGAGGGTCCTACAGCAAGGCTTGAAGGGTTAGTGAAGGACCTGAGGCAAGAGAAACCACCCATCCTAAATGACCAGTCTCTAGGACTGCACTGCTGTTTCTATGACTTTTCAGCTGGAATTTACAACCATTTCTCATTTGTCCACCTTCCTGAATGGAGACCAATGTAAGACTGGCTGCAACACAGCTTTCCAAGTTTTTGCTAAAGCCAAGGTTTTTGCAGCAGAAAGCGAACTTGCCTTATCCTTGCCCTGGTACAGACACTGGGATGTTCTGTGCAGGCACTACAGGCCACTGGAGCTGTTGCTTTTGCAGACTTGCAGGCTGTAAGGGACACAGAATACCAAAATATCCAACCCAGTGCTCAAGTCCTTACATTTCTCTTGTCTGTTTTTCTGTACCGTGGGTTTTTCTGGGTAGCTCGAATAGCTGCAACTACTGATGTCCAGATGCAGAGGTTCCTGAAATCCTTACACTGTTTTAAATTTGGTTTGGATCCAGGGCTACGTTAAGGCAAGTCTTCACCAAGGGAAAATTGTTAAAACCTAAGTCACAGATTTTACAGGTAAATTAATTATCTAGCTAAGCAGCCACTCCATCTTACAGACCAGAGAACAATGCTTGCCATGAGTCAGAGATTATGGCTCCAACTGTGTTTTTATAATCTATAAAAGGGGACATGTGGAAACTATGGTAGGAAATTTCAGTAATTAAAGCAGAGGTTCTCCTAATTAACTGCAAAGCATCATTAAAATCTAATGAAACTGCAGTGGAGTAACACAGAATTCTGGCTTAACTGCAAGGAGATAAATGCGAATGGCAGCTGAATTTTCATGTAGTTTGAAGTTTATACAATAGGACTGAATGCATTTACAGTAGTTTAGAGCAGAAAAGCTCGCTTCTAACATGTGTGAATCAGGATTAGGAAGTTAGGGTATTAGTGCATAAGAAGTTAACATATTAAAGAATGTGGCATACTGAAGCACAAGAATTAAAGAAATAAAGATTTTTGCTATTTAAAGCAGTTGCATTTGTGGTGGTAAACTGAATTTCACAGAAGATGATAAATAAGAGAACTGGTGTTGCATCAGCATGATGTAAGACTAAATTTTTCAGTGGAGAGAATTCATCCTGGTCCACCTGAACAATCTGCATCACCCTCCCATATTTCACCAGAGATTCACATGAAGAAAGAACTTTAAAGCTCTGCAAGCACATTTCAGGAGTCATCTGTCATCTGTCGTGGTTCTTCCCTAACTCCTCTGGACTCTTGGTCTTGAAGTTCTTAGGAGGGAAATCATGGATTCTGGAGCTTTAAGGCCTAATTTAAGCTGATGTGTACCAGGCCCACAGGAGCCACAGGAGCATCACTGATGTTCACTGAACAAAAAATCTGTCTCTAAAACTGTTTTATCGTGCCTTATGCTCAAGGCATTGCAGGTGGAACTCTTTCCCTCCCCTGACTTCAGCTCTGGAATATCCAAGGCTGGACAGACTCACTGCACATGCAATGCAGAGAGTTCTTGAGGACAAGGCATGAGGTCACTCCTGAACCTGAATCACTCTCCAAAGATGACCTTAAACCAGCTTTTGAAGAAACCTAAATGACCAGTTCCTTCTGAGAGCTAAAGTCCTGTAGGACTTCCACCCTGGCACAGATGCCAACAGCATCACATTCTCTGCATCTCCCTACCAAAGGCCTGAAGTGCCAGTCCAGAGATTTGAGCTCAGGGAGATCAATCTCTACTGCCATTAAATCTTATCCTAATTATGCTGATGGATATGCTGACGTCCTGGGCATCAGCAAAAGGTCCAAGCCAATCAAACTCATTTAATTGCAATGCACAGATGCCAATAGTTCTCAGGATAATACAGCTGTAGTTTAGACACCAAATTATGCTATTGGGCTAATTTGAAGACCAATTTCCCATTGCTTTCAATAGCTAAGTACATTAAAATTATTTATTATTTAGACAAATTAAGACTGGAAAGCAGAAGACATTCACCACAATGAAAAATAAAGGCATACATTCAAAGCAGCAAAACTACATTTTTAAAACAACCAGGTTTTTTTCCAGACACACATAATAAAGACGTAGCAAGCAGTTAAAAATTTGTTAGCAAATTGTAAGCTGCTATACAGCCCACTTTCTAAGAAAGCACAGAATGGACACCAACTCTTGCTATCTAAAATGTCAGGTACCTTTTCAGTGTCAATTCCTTTAGACATGGACCAGGTTGAGACAATGTAATCCATGACTCTTTCACTAAGGCCTTTTGGGACTTGATATAATTTTAGGAAATCCCTCACGTTGTTCAGCATCTCGTGGTACCGGTTGGTGTTGGCATACATTTGCTGGAAAATGGTGGTGACGTTTCCAAAAATAGTTGCATAAAGAAGAGCTGGAAAACAAAAAATTAAAAATGAAAATAAATATGTATGCTCTAGTAAATGCTAATCATAATTTAAGGGTAATGTTAGAGAATTTTATGGTTTACATTCTTACATTAGGCATTACAGACTTTTCAGAAAAGAGAAATATTCTGGTCTCTCATAACACCAGTGTGCTGCACTACTTCTGTTTTTGACATTATCAAATACACAGAAATATGCCTGTCATTTTTAATAATCTTTGCTCAGAGGTACTTTATAGCAGAATTCAGCTATGCATTTCCATATAGCTTTTTAAAAAAACCCAAAAACTGCAGCCTAAAAATGGTAAGAAATGAGCCACTGTGAAAGGAAAAAAATGCCTTCCATCACTCAGTGCATAATGTCTTCCCTCTACACAACCCATTTCTACCTCATTCCAGAAACATCACTTTGTTTCCCACCAATTTACTGCTGTACATCACACCCCTATGAGAGGTGGCATTTTTAAAGAAACACGGTGCTCTCCTAAAACCTATCTAATAGAAGAACTGTACTTCCATTTCACAGTGTTTTTTATATGTCCAGGTAGAAATCCGATGTCAGAGTTCATCACAAACACTGGATCATACCAAACAAGGTCACACAATGTGTAGCACAAATGTGCACAAGATTTCTGTTCAAGAAAACACAGCAGAATAACAGTCTGTGTGATGTTGCAAGGGCAGGTTTTTCCCTTGCTTTTCTGATTGCTGCATCATATCTGCAAGATATAAAAAGATTTTCTATACCTCTCTCTCTCCATTCAGACATATATCAATACTTAAGAGTACAAGTATATGGATTACAAAAAAGTTTAGAGGGATGAATGCCACGTGACTTTTTTATTTCTTTAGCTTTCTCTGCTCTTTTGGACTTCTGAAGCGGGACAAACCTGATGAAATATCACTTCTCTTAAGTGCAACATTCCTCATCCTTCTGAACAGCTTCTGATTTATCATGCACTCATCTCATCAGGTATGTGAGGGCACAAATATCTCTGATGTTAGATGCTACTGTAAATCCTTATAAATGTATAGAGAAGCCCTAATTACCCCCAAAATGCTGTCTTCCACAACCTGTAACCACAGTTAGACTGCATCTGCAAATCCAGTTCCTACAACCCAACTGGCCATGCAGACCTACCCAGAGGAGAGAGGCTGACTGAAAATGTGCCCTGTAAGACTTGAACAAGGAGATTCAAGTCTGAGAGCTGCCAGCTTGGAAACAGCTAAGAAAGCCATGGTGAAAACAGCCTGTCTGAAGCAGCTGGCACCTATTACCTCCTCTTGGCAGAGAGGATTTGTCAAAAAATATATGGCCAGAGAAGAAATTTTAGTTCTGTGTCTCATAATATAGGGTCCTGTAAAAGTTGTGCTTTAAAAAAAAGGTTGCTTCAAGAAATTAAGGGTAGAATAAATCATTGGATCAAGCAAACAAGATCCCTGTAGACACCATCCAGCAATACCTCACTAAGCCAGAATCCACCAGGCCGTGGAGTCTGCACAGACAAACTCATCATTATCTCCCTCTTGGAAACCAAAGCCTTCCTTTAGAATTGGAAATGGTAAAAATGGTCGAGTTCATTCAAAAGCTCCACTCATCTCACAGGTTACTGCATGGGGGATCTTTGGCAAAGAGATAAAGGGAACCTACTTTTAGATCTCCACAGCTTTGGAGCTGTGCCTCAAAGGCTCTCCTCACTCGTGGTGCTCCCCCATGCCCACAGCAGAAGCTGCTGAGGGTGGTTTGCAGGTTTTGGGGAAGAGAAGATTCTTCATAATTTCCCTCTCTCTGTAAATCCTCTCCCCATCCCTGTTCTCTACATGATAACTAGAAGGGAGGGTCATTTGTAAAAAGCTGATCTTCATTGTTTTGCAGGTCTTGGTATGCAACAAAAGTTTGGAGATGCTGACAAGCATCTAATGCTGCTGTCACCTTCCAAGGGTTCAGGCTCTCCATCAATAAATAACCCATATTGTCCATAATTAGCAAGTGATGATTTCCCAAAGAATCTCTATTTAATGAGCAAATACTGAAGTGACAAGTGTGAGTCTTACCCCTCACCTATAAAAAAAACAAAGGCAGATGAGCACTACCAAGGGCATTTCACTTTTCCTGTATTTTAATTATTTTTGGCAGGTGGAATTGGCAGTAAAAAACATTTGCAAAAGGTTCTGGAAGAAAATTAAATGCTCTGTCTCTCCTTACAGTAAAAGTATTTAAACAATGTCTAAGGAAATCTCTAAAGTTATTTATACCCTTTAATAGTTTTAATTTAGTCTCTCAGTTTACAATACACAGGAAAGATGAGGTTGAAGGTGAAAGGACATAATTTCATGAATGGACTGCTTAGGTCAAACTGCATTTATTCACCTTCTCTTTAATGACTTGACTTTCTCCAAATATTTCCTGTTATGTTCCTACAAGTCATGCAACACTCATTAACTCAATTGTTCTATGTGTGCAAATCTGGAACAGTCTTCACTAAATTTTATAGAGATAAATTTGATGTAATGATGCAGAGATATTTTTTTTCAGTCCTAAAGGTGAGGTGGTCCAACTGTAATTGTAGTTTCTATTTTTACTCTTCAGTGTGGAAAATCTACCCAAAATTACAAGAACCCAAGTACTATATATTTTTACATATAAAATCTGTTACCATATTTTTACTTTTATAAAACATTTCTGAATGATTTAACAATGGTGTTACATAAAAAGAAACTTTCTGAAAAAAAATGACTCAGAGTTACCTAAATAATCCCAAAGCATTTCAGATCTCTTATTATCCTGACTGTATGCTAAATACATCCAGATAGAAACATCTGCCTTAAAGAACTGAAGGCTTAATTGAGAAATCTGATTTTCCTTATGTCCTGCTCTACGCTCGAGTATTATTAATCCAAGCATATACAATGTTCCTCCAAACTACAATTGTAAGGAAGTTTAGTAAGGGAGTACCAGCCTCTTCTCCCAAATATCAAGTGACAGGACAAGTGGAAATGGCCTCAAGTTGTGCCAAGGGAGGGTTAGATTGGAAAGTTTCTTCACTAAAGGAGTGTCCAGCAGTGGAGCAGGCTGCCCAGGGCAGGGGTGGAGTCACCATCCCTGAAGGGATTTAAAAGATGTGCAGATGTGGCACCTGGGGATGGGGTTTAGTGGTGGGCAGGGAATTGATGGGTTCATGGTTGGACTCAATGACCATAGAGGTATTTTCCAACTTAAACAATTCTATGAGGCTGTGATCCTGGAAAAATACAGATTTTCATTCCTGCATGTTGAGGCCAGCTGCGACTTCTTCTTCAACTAATTTCTTAAAATGGATTTTTAGATAAATATTAATAAAGTCCTATTTTTAGATAAATATTAATAAAGTTTAGATAAATATTAATAAATATCGTTCAGGAGAGATTCGATAAAACCTCCAATATACATTTCTGTATTGGCCTAATTTTGGTAATGAGAGGGTGGCTTCTGTGTACACAGGGGTGGCTTCTGTCAGAAGCTGCTGGAAGCTTCCTCCACGTCCAGCAGAGCCAACCCCAGGAAGCTTCAGGACAGATGTGCCACTGGCCAAGGCTGGGCCAATTAGAAATGATGGTAACACCTCTGTGATATCATATTTAAGAATAGTAAGGAAAAAAAAAGGCATTGTGCAGATGTAACTGCAGCCAGAGAAGAGAAGGGTGGGAATATGTGACAGGAACAGCTCTGCAGACACCAAGGTGGGTGTCTGGCACCCAGACAGAGTCAAACCACTACAATTTACTAAATATAAACAGAGAGAAACCCAAATATCTGATTTACGATTTTAGAAGCTGAGCAGTTTTCTGTTATTTCTTTCCACCTCACCTTAATACATCTGCTCAGACTGCAAAACATTTGCAGGCACTGTTTGGTGCAACACCAGGCAGTGGCCATCTCCTACGTCAAACAGCCTCACTGAGATGCTGCAGCAGCAGAAAGCTGCCACTTTCTTAGCAGAAATAGCTTTCCTCAAATCCACCAACACATTTCAACCAAGTTACTACTTGGGAGAAAATATTCCTCCTAAGCCCCCTCCCCCATCACTGTTTTATAGCACTTCTTTGATGCCAGCCCCAGCCTCCCACCTCTCCCCCTCAGGCACACTCCTGTCTGCCAGCTGTGCCAGTGAAAGCACCAACACAGCCCTGTGGTTCTACAGCTCTTCAAAAGGCCACCCTTAATTCTGAACCCTTGGCCCCACTAAGTATTTTGCTGTTAAAATACTCTCCCCCCATCCCAGCAATGTTTTACATCAGTGTTCCACCACTGTTTTTCCCCGTTTACAGGGAGATGCCAATGCCAGAACACACTAACTTTCACATTCCTCTTCCAAAACCATCCAAAGCATTAAAAAAACCCCAATTTTCCTTCAATTAGTCCTGCAGCGAGATCACTCTATCATCCCATGACACATCATCCAATGTATTTATCCTCCTATAAGCCCCAACAGTGCATTGTCACACCCAATTTGCAGAGGAGAATCCAATGGGCAAAGGTCTGGATTCAGCAGTGAAATTCAGCTCTGAACTCCTCACCAAAACCACCTGACTGCTGAAATCAGTGGGGGAGTTGTACACAGTTGTATCTGGTCAAAAGCTCACCATGATTGCAGGTTCCAGTCAGATTGCACCTCCAGCCTGGCCTTGCACTGCCAGGTGTGTCCTGCACTGTCCCTGCAGGGTGGTGGTGGCATTCCTGCATCCCACTCTGCGGTCACAGGAGGTGCACAGCTCCTCCCTGACATCCACCCCTGCTTTCCTGGCCCGGCAGCTTCCTAAAATCCTACATTAAGAGGCTAGTGATAGTAAAGACAGGCCTGTCAAGTCCCTGTTAACATTGATATTTTGCTTGACAAGAACTAAATGATTATGTAAATTGGATGATTATCATCGAATAAACATCAAATAAGCTGTAGGAACTCACACTCACTGTTCTTTGTCTTGCAGGGGACACTGCACAGAAGAGA